TTTTAAAAAATAATAGGTCATTTTGAAGGGAATTTAGTAAGTTTGAAGATAATGTTATGTAAAATCTAATTCAAATTTTGTTTTTTTTATAAATTAAAGAAATGTAAAAAGTGAGCAAATCGTAAAGTCAAAAAATTGTGCTCCTAATACGAGATGTCCCGAGAAATCGATAATAAAACGCAAAGTACATCAGTATTGCAATTAAAAAACTTTATTTAATGTTTCTAAAATACAAATAAACACAGCCAGTGCACATACAAAATGAGTATGCGACGCATTGTACCTAGCTGACTCGTCTTCAGGTAATTGGAATCAAGCATCGCAGAAATAGGCACTCGATGGTTATTCCGATTGTCCTTTTTATTATTGTACAATAACACTTATACTTTAGCAAATTTTCACTATGACATAGAACCATAGGTTACTTCATATTAGAAATACCCTGGGTATCTCATATTACGATTTCCACGCCTTACGGTTTTACGATCATCAAATCTAACTTCTGTAATTAAGCAATTCAACATATCACGTATTTTTCTATTAATACGATCTTATTCTATCACTATATGAAGAATTTATTGTCAAATATTTACTTATTAAATAATAAACAAGATTTAAAAGCTCATCTCATAGAAACTTGAAGATATCCAAATTCTAAAATCCTTTTTGCAATGACTACAGGCATGATATAATAATGAATTTTCCACTAAATAGTTTTTAATCCAAAAATAATAAATTCATAGTGAAACCAATAGATAGCATTTATTAGTTTAGCGGGAATGCCTCTATCTCGTATTAAGCGCCTATCTCATAATAGGGGGCTTTCCTCTATATGTCCCAATAAGCAAGAAACATTTTGGAACATTTCAACAACATTGTAGCAACATTGTAACATTGCTACAATGTTATTGAAATGTTCCAAAATGTTTCTTGTTTACTGGGATATTTGTGTGCGTTAGGATTGACGCGTGAGTACATTTACACTTCAAAATTTCGGACTCCTGCTTCGTAGAAGTACGCATATATGTCGGAAAACGATGATGTGTTCAATACATTTTTTGTTAATAATTTATTAATACACAACGAATGACAGCTAAGACCTTTTGAATATTACTCGGGATAATGACCTTGATAACATATGTCAAGGTCATTGACTTTTGAACGGATTGACCTTGTGTAAATATTTACCCATGAAACAACTCTATTGTTATAAAGATTTCACACGCATAAAGGTAAGCAAATATATTTTTTATTCAATAAAACAATTTTTTTAAGTGCACATACCGACAATAATCCATGTCGAATTGGTCAGGAAAACGCAAAATAGAAAGATGCGACTTAATATTCTGCCTTGATCTGGCATGCTATTTTGTACTCTTTGGTATTGGTACCTGCAATCATAAGAAAGTACAAAATATAGAAATAAAATTAAAAATTGATATATTTAAATATTACATGCAAGGAAATATATTTCTCTTAATTGTATTACAAATATATAAGATGGACGAAGAAAAGCGGAATTAATGAAAAATAAAATAAAGAAATTTGAAAAAAATAAATTTTCCCAGAAAATAGAAGCAACAAGTTACGTGTAACACCGTTACTTTCCTTATTGCTACTCTGTTATAATAACGATTTTGGTGATGAATTTTCTTATGACTGTAATAGTAAAATCAGGTCGGAAAGTTACTTAATCATTGCTCATAACAAGTTGGAAAAGTCACTCCTTATGAAAATTAACTCGTCATTTGTAACTCGTCATTTTTTAGTCGTTATTTGTAACGAGATAAAATTACTCGTTACTCGTCATAAATAACTTTTTTTTAATAAATAAACGCGTAATGAGGTAAGTAAGTTAATAAGAATTACTAGTTATGGACTCTCGAAATTAAAATAATGTAGGAAGTTAGGGAAATGAGAGTTCGGTGCGGTAATTAATGTACAATCATTGGTTATATGTATATATAAATTATATTTGACTTGCTGCACACTCGAACGTTTCGGGGTCATCCCAGGTCATCCTCAGCGAGATCAACGAAGAAAAAAATAAAGTTTCCACCGTATCAGACAAGTCCCTACTCAGTTGCATATCTCCAAATATTTCACCATGGTCAAAAACCGGTGATGATTGCAATGGAAAACAGATGCCTGAAGAACAAGAACGTGAAATAACAATTTTATTACAAAATTAAGCAAGTTTCCATGTCAATTTTACAAAATTTTATACGAGATAAAAATTGCAGCTGTGATTTGTATCGACGTCAGAGTCGTTCGAGTGTACAGCAAGTCAAATATATACATATAACCAATGATTGTGCATCAAGTACCGCACCGAACTCTCATTTGCTTAACTTCCTACATTATTGTAATTAAGTTATTTTTCAAAATGACTTTCCCAATTTTAGCGCACTTTTAGCGATTAGTTAAGTATCATAACAGTTATGAAAAATTGCAACGTTATAAAATTGTTATTATAAAAAGTAATGGAAGAAGTAACGAAATAGTAATTCTTCCATTCCTTGGATTTCTCATATGCATTTATTAACATGTGAGCACCAGCAACACACACCGTGTGACATCAACTACTCTCGTCGGTAGCCGACGACACACACCATGTGCCACGGATTTTCGTGATTTCCGGCAAATATTGTTCTCTCAGCCGTTTGCAGTGTTATGCTCTCACCATTCCCTCAGATATCTTATACAATAAACGTGTGCAGTGACGGTTTACTTTATTCTTAAAATATAAGCTTCTCTCTCGGCTCTTGCGGTACACCTAACCTATAAAAATTGGTCGATGTTCAATATGTTAATAATAAAACAAATACAAATTTAAGATTTAAATACATATTTCATTTTTTAAATTAATAACATGAGAAATATTAAACATGTCATTTGAAACATGCAAAAATTTAATATGCTATTCTTAATTATTATTGCAATAATAAAATTAACATGAGAACGTTTAATATTAATAAAGAATAAAAAATCACAAGTTAATGTATTGCGGAATATTCGCTTTAATTGGTATTGACATCGCGCATTCAAATGTTTAGAAATCCCTTAAAAAATATGATTAGGAGTCAATGGTAAGATAGTAACTATTGACACTCAATCATAACTGCATGTTGACGAATAGTAACTTTGGGTAATAGTAATGATCATGGGTTCTCAGTGGTAACCATTGACACTTAAAGTACGGTTGAGAAAGCAGCTTTGCAATTATTGCAAGATTCTCCAATACGATTGGTTCTTACTTTTGGTTCCTTATGGTTTGGTTTGATTCCTTTAGTTCTGCTTGCACTGATAGCATTGTCTAAATGCAGATCCAACCTACGTTCATCTTTAGGTACTATGAGCATCACCCATTGTATAATCATTGATCTTTTTCTAAACTAATTTTCCAATGTTTAAGATTTTATAGAAAATAATACTAGCGTTTATATACACACATATGTATATATACAGGGTGTCCCATAATTCATTCGACAACGCTCGTGGGCAGGTAGAGCGGAGGAGCATTGTAATTCAGAATTGTGTCCAAGATGCGTGTGAGAGAAAGATACGTATGAAGATGCGTGTAAGACAGATACATGGAACATTCGTTCTCTCTGCGCATGCTTTAAATTAATACAAAAACTATATACATATATTTCGACAGTAATAGCGTTTTCGGCCCGGTCAGGTTTGCACCAACCTGGGTTGGATTAATGGCGTTTTGTGCTCTCCTATTGGTAGAGCGGGTGACGTCACCAATAGGAAAGATTAATCCATGCGAGCGTGCGTGCGTGCGTGTGTACACACACAGAGCGTCCCGTAATTCATCTGGCAACGTTCGTGGGCAGGTAGAGCGGACTAAATTGAGTTGAAAAGTCCCCTACCATTTTGCAATTTTCGCAATAGTTAACAAGATATTAATTGCTAAAAATAATAAAAAACATTAATTATTATTAATTACTAATATTGAATATTAGTCTTCAATAATTTTTTTCTCAAAAAATTATCAACTTTATAGAAAAACAGCGAGAGACAAAAATTGTTTATTTTCTTCTCATAGAGCTCTAAGAATTTTTTAGGAATTTTTTAATACCGTATTTTTTCATGTTGGTAAAAATAAGAAAATGCAGTACTAAAAAGTTGATAAAAAATTCTGAAAAAAATCTTAGAGCTCTATGAGA